CGACATGACATAAAGGGGGAATGGGACTGTTGACATGACCAAGGGGGTCGGGTTAAAGTGCAGTTAATTCAATCCTTCATTCAACCACACATCCAGTGATTTATTTTATAAAAAAAATAATTATGTGCACAAAATGTTTGTGTAAAGGCAGTGCATTCATAATTACTGCCATTAGCAGATTATGTCTATGTAATATCAGGTAAAAACAAGGATTTGAGCTTCTATTTTCTTAACATAAATATAATAATTACACAAAAATTTAAATGTGTGAACAACCAGATTGTGTATTTAATAATAAAGTACAACACTTCTAACTTCAGAACACCCATGCAAGTGAATAAACCATTGACCTCTCACAGTCAAAATTTCTTGACTGTCTTTGTAGAATGTCTTCCTCAAAACAAAGTTAATAATGTTCTATAAAATGCCATATTGGCTATTTGCCATGGTTATTGCTATAACAATTACAACTGTAATACTTTTGGCTTATTACTATTGTTGTAACATTCCGTTAACCTTCACTTGCAGCATTTTTTGTTCAGCATTTACTACAAAGTACTGTTTACTAGTACAGTATCCATTTACTAGTTTCTTGTCAATACCAATTTACGAGGAGAGAACTGTTTTCAGAAAGAGGTTGTTCTTGCATGACTTAAGTGAAGAGCACAACGTTACCCTCACTATTTATGGTGACCTGCAATGACTTCCATTGTGTGATTTTCACACAGCATTCAGCAATGAAATCTACATTCGAGGTGTGCCAAATCTGATCAATATACTCTACCGTGGTAAAATATTTGACCTCTCAGTAGAATCAATTTTGTTTGTATTGAGTTAGTGAAACCATGCGACGGTGGACGGTGTATTAAAATATCCTTCTACTACTAATATTCTTAAATCTTACAGCCCATACATTCATACTGAGAATCCAAGCAATAATAATAATACTGTACATGTTTGACAGTTATTTAAGACAACAGCCAATATCAATATAGTCCCATGATATTACTTTGCTTATGTAAAACCATATTCAAAATATGCATTTTCCCTCTCTGTAAATATGTAAGACTTCCTTTAACCTGGATGTACTATTTTTTCCAGACATCAAGGAATTTATTCCAGATTCACAAAAAGTCTGGTCCCATTTTGGTAGCACTGCTTTTATCAAGGTAGACTTTTTTTCAAATTGAAATATGTAATTCTTCAAGTTCCAGTTTGAAATGATGATGGAACACTCGATATCGTGCAAGGTCTTTACGTGATACAATTCCAACAACCTGCAAAGAATGAAGAATAACTGTCAACCAGAGTCATTCAATTTTTATGTATACTATTTTCCATATATACATTTTTCACCCCATGACATTACACAAATTTGATATTCAGGAAGATATTTCTAAAATCTAAAATGTTTCTAAAACTGACAAAATGGACGCCATAATTTTTTGTCCAATAATATCTCTAATAGTAGTGTGCTAATGGTATTGATATAGAGTATTAAGAGATACAGCGAATATACCTTAAACATGTTTATGAATAAAATAAGTCATATTTTAGCTTAAATACTCTATGCACTAAAGGCCACTTCTACATTGATTGTGAACCTATGGTTGGTATACCAATCTGTCTTTGATTAAACCAGAACTCACATCCATTTCATGAAAAACAACCAACAAATCCAGGTGGCCATCAACTGACTGAGTCCAAACAGATAAACCTATTGCAATGATGATTTCCTGTTGGTCATTATTTTTAAGAGTGCCAAATTGAATGCCAAAGTCGACTGTTGTAATATTTCAAAAACCAAACCCACACAATATTGTTTTCACAAATTTTTATCAAGATGTGTAGCCAAAGAGAATATAATATTTATTAAAAAATTAATAAAGCAATTATCTAAATTTGGGTGGAAAAATGATGGTGCTCAAAATGTTCACCCAAATTCATCTTTTTTTACACCATCACTAGTCGTATTTCCATGATTGGAGGAAATATTGGTATACATGATATTAGCAGGCATATCAAATGACCTATGATTGACCAAGACTGTAAAGTGAGTTCATCTTACCTGACTGTGATCATCAACAACAACTAAATGTCTCAAACCTAGACCTCGGAAAAGTCGAAATATCCTAGATAAAGATGAATTCTGAAAAAAGAAATAAAGTGACACGTTTATATTTGTAAAATTGTATTATTTCATAAATAATAATAAGCAATTCCAGCCAAATTGCTGAACTTTGTGTGATTACATGTAGTGTCAGAGCTTGGCAAGTCAGTTTTACTCATTCACATGAAAATTTTATCTTATGTAATTATTCGTATTTCTCATTTTTCAGATTAATTAAGAATTAAACAAAATATAAAATGAGGATAAATACATATTCAAATAGTGACTAAATATGGCTAACACATACAAGGCTGACACTGTTGGTAACAAATTCATGTTAATATCACATCTTAATTGAACAGTGCCATCAGTTGTGAGTGATTTAAACCACGGTCCCTCCACAGTTGATGTCAGCCTATTGTTACAGTGTATGTTTTGTTTAATTCTTTAAGTTTCTCTTATCAATGCCTGTATATTATCATTGTTTTTATTACTTCACATGTTTTTGTTAATTTCAAAACAATACTGCTATGAATCATCACGTCAGCTGAAATTAAAAACGCAGACTGTTTCTGAACTTTTATACATTGTTCACACATTTTAAGAATAACAATTTCCAAACCATTTGTTAAATATAAATAGTGAGTCTCCTTACCTGTGACACAGTGTATGGAGTTGGATTCATGAAAGGTCGAAGGTCAATGTGATACTGTCGATGTTCTGGTTTAACTTTGATATCTTTGATACCTGGGTACCGTGGGTACTCATCTCGAAAATCTTTAAGTCGAATTCTTTGCCGTAAACTGGTAACACCAACAGTTTCATTGAAAACCTACAAAATAACAAAAAATAAATGAATACAAGTCATTGTTAATGATATAGTCGCCACTGGAATTAAGGGAAATGTTATTCATGCCAAAAATAGTTAGTAATTGACACTGTATAATTGGCTGCTCTAGTAATTAACAGTAACAGTAATTAGATGTATTAAATGACTCCAAATTCGAAATATATGGTCACAAATTAAACAGGATATGGTATTCATGCATTTTTTGTATCCAAACTGAATTTCATTTGTCATGGCTTATGTACAGAGATATAGTAGTCAAAAAAGCAAGATTGCAAGCAGACAACCATCTTTGAGCTGATTGTGAAACTAATTGTCATGAACATGTAACCTAACATGCATTATTTGAAAAGAAAGAAAAAACATGTCAATGATACATTTTGAAAAAAACAAGATGGCTGATAGTTGGTCATTTTGGATTCTAACATGACCTTCAGCATGTATAATGTTTGTATCAAATTAGAACGAAAACTGACAAATCCTGTCCAAGATACCACTTTTTCCCAAAAACAAGATGGATGCCAGCCGGCCATCTTTGATCTGATTATGAAACAAACTGATATGGACATGTATTCCAATGTGTATGTGCCAAATATGAATGGAAATGGTCCCTAAGCCTTGGAGATGAAGTAGTATGGTCAAAAGGCAAGATGGCCACCAGTCGACCATCCTTGAATCTAACATGTATAATGTATGTACCATATTTGAACAAAAACTTACAAAGCATGCATAAGATACATGTACCACATTTACAAAAAACAAAATGGCTGCCAGTCAGCCATCTTAGATTGAATCAGTAAACCACTACACGTGCACATGTCCCAGATAAAGTACTAGTCACAAGAATTAACAGATTTGGTCCACAGGGTTCTGAAACATGATGCTGGACGAACGGACGGTCTGACGGACAGACCAAGGCCGAATTATAAGCATTCTCCCGGCGGCTGAGATAGTTCGCTGTTCGCAAGCACAGTTTAATTAAAGAATTGAAGATATCATCACAAAATTAACAAATCTGAGAGTCCACCTGTAGTATAATATCAAATCAATCAGACTTGCAGTTTTTAACAAGAACAAGACAATCACTCATATGATAAGCTCCGCTCAACGATATCGACAGCGGAGCTAAGTGGATACATTGAAAATTTATTTAATCTGCCAAGATTTTTTTTGTATTCAAAGAACAAATTCACGAAAGATTTTTTTTTACCATGGCTTACAAATGTATATTTGATCCTAAATGCCTGCTTATAATTCCATCCAATGTTGGTGTGTGCTTTTACCAGTATATGCCATACAAAGAAAGATTCTTACATAAAATATGATACTGTGTAGACATGGCTGTGTAGAGATATACAGTGACATAATCATCATAATTAAAATACACTTACCTCTTTTTTTAACAAAACAATAAGTTGTGAACGAAGAATTAGACCTCGATAAGTACCAAAACTTCTATCAGTCTAAAAAAAAAGTGGTAATTGGATGCACATGTTAAGTAAAAAAAGCAATAGAGATTTAGGAGAAGTACTGGACTCTAGTGATATTTAGATATCACATTTCCATATGGTATTATCTCAGATAAGTTAATGTCAAGTTATAACTCATTTTTTTACCAGGGCTCAATACATAATGCAAATGTTACATTCACAGCACCCTCTGGTGGTGACTTCATGCGAGGAAAAATTTGTGTACCATTTCCACACAAGAAAGTATTAATGGAAATACAATAAATGTTACCAAAACTTAACTTGTTTAAAAGTACAGGAATAAGCTACAAATAATTTGATAAAGAGCCGAATGTTGACAGTAACAGCAAAAGATTAAATACTTTATATCAATTCAAATGTGTGAAAAAGATACTCAGATATGTTGTATCCAATGGTGACATACTCATAAAAACAAACAGGAAACATATCAGCAATGAAGTCAAATGCAGGAGATGGAAATGGAACCTGCAAGACAGCCTTCACATGGAAACCAGAAGAAAAGTAGGGTGCCATAAAACATGAAGGTGAACAGTAGTGAGGGAAATAAACCGGTATATTTATTACTGAGAAATGCACACAATGTAAACTTGGAGACAGACGGAATCAAAACAGGAATGTGAACAGGACAGGGCAACCCTATATACACATGATAAACCCACTAGCACACAGACAGACAGGAAATACATAGACACATATGTACACATTGCATTGGTTTAACATATTGACAATGTTTAGCAACTTACGACTTCATTTGGATCAACAACAGGAAATCCATTATGATGATGATGTGACATAGCATCTACAATTTTACCAACAGTTTCTATGGTATTCAGTGTGACAACAGGATGACTCATAACATCACTAACAAATAAATAAAGAGAACAAATTATAATTTAAAATTAAATCCATTTTCATTTTTTTACATCTCATACATTATTTATGGTTACTCCAGCACAAGTGCCATGTACGTCATTCAATGTTGCAAGTCATTCTATTTATGCAACTGCAAATGACTCAAGTCAAGTTGTTATGACCCCACATAAACTTTGAGCTCTGACCTCTGAGCAGACTCTGACCCTAACCTCAACAAGCAAGGTACTAGCATGAACAACCATTTAATAGTGAAGCCAATTTGTTCAGAACATAATTCGAGGCAAAGGTCAAATTAAGAAACCAAACATGTTATTTTATTTGGATACTGGTTGTGAAACGTTGCCAAATAAGGCTACACAACTGACATGAGATATTTATATCATGTATAACCATAACAAGATTATTCTTCTGTTAACTGAATGACATTTGCACTATCAGTAACAATTCATTCTAATGAAGATGAAGTCGAAAATAGTATTATTATTAAAAATTACAAAAATATTCATTAAAAAGTGTGAGTTGAAGATATTGTCACGAAAAGATCAAATCTTATAGAGGTCCAGCACATATGTACCAAGGATAAAAGCAATAGAGTTAACGGTTTTCAAGAAGACGTTTGAAAAGCTGCGGGACACCACCACTAACGACAGACAATCACCTATACCAACAGCTCCACCTGTCATCTTCAATGAGCTAAAAAATATTAGTGCTGATGCAGCTTTTGGTACACTATCTGTATCACTGGTAAGATTAAACAAAAACCAACACCTTGAATAACAAAATGTTCATTTGAATCATGAAAAAAAAATGATGTACACCTGTAAATTAATATGTATGACCCTCATACCAACTTTGATCCAAATCATCTTGTTCATCTGATACTGACAAAAATAGCAAATTTTATGTTCAAAATCAGCCATTTTTGTTAAGATCATCAAGTAACTTGATGTGCAATTGTAAGACATGATGTATAATCTTTGTTTGAGGTTTGAATTAGATTGGTTGAGATATGACTTTGTACAGACAATGAACAAACATAACCCAAATTAATAGTCCAAATTTTCAGACGATATCTGAATAAAACTAAGACCAGGAACAACTGGAGACTTAAATATATCTCTCAAACATTGTTTTATGCAAATTAACTGCTTATTTGCATCAAAATCTAACTGATTACACATGCAAGCTGTAACATGATGTATTTACTAGTTTGTACTTACTGCGCTGATATATTATGTGCCATTGCTGGTGGTTCCCATGGTAACAAGGGGACACTTTGTAGGAGAATGTGAATGTCATACAAACCCTGTCAATACAAATATTAGTTAATAATAAATTCAAATCTTCCAATGTTCTTGTCAAAGTGAAAAATTATTTTTTTTTGAGTTTTCTTACACACATACATCTTAAAACAAATATTGCAGTTCAGAATTCCGATATGCATACTGTATTTGTTATATTAGCAGTGATGAAAATATACCAGTCATATTTTAATGATCTAAGTATATGACAATTTACGCAATTCGAACAAAGCAAATACGACATACATCTGTGACCACCAAGTATAATGCAAGCTTTTTAGGACCATCAATCAATAATTTTCATTTTAAATCGAGCAGGCCTATACCAGAATGGATTAAAAAACAAATAAAAATAATAAATCTGATATTATGAGTATTTAAATTAATTCTATCATTTGATTCTACTTACCAAATTAAAATAATCACCAACCCATTTGGATATCATTAAGACCAGCATTAATGGTAACCCATATGTCACATCCCCAGTGGCTTCTATTAATATCACGGTTAAACTAATTGTCATACGTACTATACCACCTAGAAGATTAGAAAACACTTTGAAGAACTTTCACAATTTGAGAACAATTCCAATATCATATCTGGATTCTGTTTTGTTTATAAAAAGTAAGCAGAGGTTAGAAAGAGAAATGGAACACTACAAACCACTATAGTTTCGTTACAACAAATTTAGTCCTCATACTCTGATTACTGTAGAAGTCAACATCGGTGAAAATTAAACTAATTAATCATGTAGAACAAATTGACTAAAATAAAAGATTGAAAAAATGACAGTCCCTCGAAAAAGATTTATTGGTTTCTAGAGATTTTTGGTTTATGGAAGTCAAACCTTTTTTAGAGTATGCGGATAAGAGACTGCAAATTGCAAAATGGTGTTTGTGTTGCAGTGCCAGCAATCAATTTGACATTTTCAGCTGACATGATAACACTGCTTAAAACACACCATTTTCTGCAATTTTCAGTATTTAGTGGTGTTTGAATTTACAAAAACAACTCTTCAAATATTATGGCTAATGTCCTATCCCAGCAAAACATCAAATCATGTTATCTTTTTCCAAGTGAAATTAGAGGGTTCTGATTTCAGATAGTTGGATTCATTTCATTCAGTTCAGTGTCAAGGATACAGAAAATGATGACATCACATGAAGCACAGAGGACCTAGGCTAGGTCTTAGGTGACAATTAATACAATTTACATACCTAGCTGAGCAGCAGCACCAATCAAAGCATATTTACCGGGGTCAGAGAAGTGCTGAAAGAAAGATTACCATAATCCTTTTTTATATAACAATCCAATAGAAAATGACATTATTAGACTTCACTTATGGCAGCAGTAGCTATATCCACCAAATTCATGTGCAATTGTGTAATACCATATATGGAAAATGAAAAGTATGCAGGGTGTCACTGATAAAATAGAATAGCATTGGTCATGCTGGATAAAATGTTTTACTCACCCCACCAGGAAAAACATAATGTACAAATATGCCAACCAGTCTGCCCCATGCTGCTCCCGTTAGTAGACTTGGTATGAACAAACCACTTGGTACGCCTAAACCATACGTCCAACATGCGAGACAAAAATAAATACAAAAGAATACTCCGACTGTGACAGGTTTATAGGCACCTATTAAGGAAAAAAAATCATAATAAATTTTATTTGTTTAAAAAAATTACAGATTCAGCTAAAAACAAGTATAATAAATTCAGTTTATTTCTAAAAAGTGTTTATACTTTGTCTAAAACCAAACACCATTACCGTAGTATGGCACTGGTTGCATGTCATTATCTGCAGCAGTGCTTGAGATATTACATTTATGCATATTAATGAGGTAACATGAACCCATTCATAGAAGATGGGTAATTAAAACACATGTATTTCTACCCTGTAGATTATATATAAGTACCTATGTACCAAGTTTAATTCTGGCTGCAAAACCAATATGACATGACATACCTAGTGGATCATGAAATAAACTTTTTAAGGCTTCCTCTGGGGTATTAAAAAACAATGTTGCTGTAGCACTGAACTCCCCATCGTCACAAAAAAACTGAAAGATAAAAAAAAAGCAAGATTATGAAAATAAATTAAAGAAATGGTTCAACATTTCATGTGTCATAAGTGTAAATTTCTAATGGCCATTGCCGAAATGTTAACACTAAAAAGCATAGCATATATACACTTTATATTGACGTTGTACATTAAATTCACATGCAAGTGAAAGTGAAAAAGTAGTTGCAGGGGTTGCGTTCTGATCTCTAGAAGGCACCATCAATTGTAATTCAATTTTGTACCTCAGAAATTACAATAGAAGATAAAAACTTTACCGGGCGGAATGTCTAATTTTGTCGTAATCTTGTCTAACCTCTCTGAAGTACACTCACCTGAAGTGGTTCTGGACTTGAGTTACTCCCGATAGGATGGCAGTCAGAAATGAAATAAATCATTGTAAAACTTATTGTTGTGGTTACCAAGGCAACCAATGCTGCTTCAGTGACACATGAAAGTCGTAAATACACATACCTGGAGATAGAAGAAGGGTTTCAAACTTAAGATATATTTTTAATGACAAGTGCCATTGGTAAGTTTTCAAAGTTATCTCTTATGAGCTAAACATCAGACATCCCAAAAATAGATGGACCATGTGAAAGGAAACAATTTCATGCAATTGCAAAAAAACAAAACAATTGAGTGGTGTCAGTGATCTTGTTGGTCCTGAGATGGCCAATACAAGACATTTATGTCTTTACTATCTATTACACTGACACTCATATGACAGAAATGATGAAAACTGGAACCAGTTTATTTTTGCGTATTTGTATTGAATGAGATCAAAGATACAGCCCTGGAACATCATCTGTTAAAACAAAATGCCCACCATTCAACCATCTTGGATCATAAAACAAATGCATATCCTTAGATGTGTAAAGTTTATGTTTGGCCAAGTCATGTCAGAGATACTGCTATGAAATTTTGAATTTGATCTGAAAAACAAATTCTTACTCTTAGATTTTGTTTTTCTTATTTACTTACTTTAATCTAAATACACTGAGTCTATAATTAAGACCATTAAATAAGGCTCCTAGTAACCCCCCTGCTACTCCCATTAATAGAAATATAGGGATTTCATAACCATAATATGCCTGCCCCTGTAAGTAAACAAAGAAATCATTGCAGTGGTGACTGGCATTGTCATGTCACTATCAGAAATGCATCATGCTTGTCACTAACATCACAGTAACTGTCATTGTTAAAAACTCAAAGGCTCATGGGCAGACACTTGGTTGTAAACAACGACATGCTATGGCCATCTGACGCATGTACAGATGACGACTCCCCTGCTTTAATTGTCATTGTCACTAACATTACAGTAACTGTCATGGTCACTGACGGCCATTATCACAGTACGACCACCTCCAGTGTAAGTGTTACTGTCATTGTAAAAATCATTGTCTCTGCGATCACCATGGTCACTGACAGCCATTATCACAGTACCTCCAGTGTAAGTGTTACTGTCATTGTATAAATCAGTGTCTCTGCGATCACCATGGTCACTGTTATTGTAATTGTCACATTCGGTTTTACTGTTTGGTAGTCGCCATTATACAGTCATCTAAATTGTTGTCACTTTTCATCATAACTATCATTGTCATTGTTATGTTCCCCTGACTACATTTACCGGCATACACTACTCTTTGCCGTCTTGAGTTGATTTGGTAAGTTACAAATAGATAACTGAAAACAATTTACATCGTATTTGTCCACATGGGTTATCCATGAAAGACTATAGACTATCAATTCCAAATATGCACAAATATGCAATGATGGCGGCTACAATTCATACTCACTGTAAATTTACCAAATGTTACAAGCCCTGGGTTAGATAACGTCCACGGATCACCATTGTAATAACTCAACACAACATTCAATGTAAATGTAGATACCATGGAAGCAAAAAACTAATGATAAAATAAAATAAGAATTATAAGATTTAGGAATCATCATTTACATTGCCATGATATTTGTTGTTGTTGTTACGAATAAATAAGACAGCAATATCTAATAAATTGAAAAAAATTGTCTTCAGTTATTATGGGACATTGTTGACACACAGGTTAATTAATTTTTTATTTTGAATGACATTGTATTGTACTCACAATCCTCCAAGTCAGTGACTGATTCCAAAAACTGGCACCTTCCTCTAAACTAAACAACACACCACCAACAGGAGCACCGAATGCTGCTGATACACCAGCTGCCGCACCACCGGAAACAAAGTCTCGCTTTTCGGTATCAGTTCGAAAATCTTCAAATACCTACATGAGCAAAAAAAGGAAATAATAACAAGTCATTGTCAATGACACGTCCCCGTTCCGTTCATATTTGAGTGACATATACATTCAAAGCAGATCATGACCGAAATGCACCTGCATATGTACAACACATTGTACTAAATCTGAACAAAATCCATCAATGCATGACTGAGATCCGGTTCCGGAATTGTGAAAATACGTGATTTTGATGCATTTTCGGCCTTAAAATGGCCATCACTCAGCTATTGTTAAGCGGATCATGAAACAAATGCACATATCTATTTGTGACATGATGTACCATGTGTGTGTGAAGTTTGAACTTGATCAATCCAGACATGTCTTGGATACGGATCCAGAACTGAATTCTTTAACAAAATGGCCGCCAGTCGGCCATTTCAAACTTGATCCGGAAAAAAAAAGACGTGCATCAAGGTCCTATTATGTTTAATGTATGTACCGAATTTGAACAAAATCC